TTCACTGTCTGTAATCTAGAATTACAATCACCACAAACTTGTGGTCTGCATAGAGTATCTTGGTCTATGCTTTAACACAGGCCTATACTACAAACAGGGGCAGTTAATACATATAGCTAAATCTGACTTAACAGCGCAGATCCATCCATGCTACATCTCGGAAGCTTTACCAGCCTCAGCGAGGCTGGTAAAGATTACCGAGACGTTCCGAGATTTTACAAGGATATTACACGGAGGTACTTTCACACGTGCCATAAAATGTTACTATTGGTTACATTTTGTAAGATTTTTGTACGTGTGAATTGGGTATAAGAGGCTATTGCTTTTTAGAACCTTGTGCTAGGACCAATATTACATCTCAGTGATAAATTGGCTAAAAACAAGTTGATTTTTTTTGTATAAATATTTCTATACAGTAGTTGGTAACAAGTTCTCATAAGTCAAACAAAAACAAAATCTAAGCATGCTCCCCCATAGTTTTGACCTAATAATCCTACAAAAATCAAAACATCCTCATTTAGGCCAAGTTAAAAAAAAGTAGTTCTAGTCCTAATATTTTGAAAAAATGAGAATGGGGACACCTTTTTTTTAAAAATTCCGAGATGTCAAATCCAAGATGATTGATGGGAAACAGCTACTACCTTTTAACTTTCACAAGGTAGACACATTGAAAGCAAATAAAAGACTCGACTAGATATGATTCATACCATACAGTGTTATCCCCAACCACGAACAATCAACGAATTTTGATGTGAATTAACCAGATTTTCGTACATTTCGTAAAATCAAGGCAATACAAAAAAATATTTGATGAGGCAGAGAAAATGGATGTGCAAGGGGACGAGAAAGTAGTAATTTTGTTTATTTGACCTTATTTTTTGGTACAATATTGACTAGTCATGAAAGTCTACAGTAGCTCTTCAATTCACAAGTTAACATAGATTTTTTTGATATGAACACTGAGGCTGAAATTGCTTAAAAATTAAGAACAAAAGAAAGAACAAATTGAGGCTGAGGTAAAATGTCAAGTTGGTTGATTCACTAAGAGAGTGGAGTTGTATTCTATTTTCACAATAAAAACAACTGTTTTAAATCATTTCAATATTAACCGCTTTGATTCTTTGTAAACAGGTATTACAAAGTCAAATTGTTAAAATTCAATTTTATCAATGATTAACAAACAGTTAGTAATCTGATACAGTGATATATATGCAAGTCACAAAGCATGTTTAAATTATCCCAAACTGAAAACTCCAATTGGGAAACAAGCCAAGTACCAAACCATATTATAGTATGGTATGCAGAAATGTTTAAAGAAAAAAACTTTGGTATGGAATTTAGAGAAACACCTCCACTTGCGATATTTTATTAAATTATTTCTATTATTTTATTGTTTTTAAACGATGCACCATTTGTAGAATTATGTGCCACCGATGTATTAAATGTTGAATTTTAAAAAAGTATTGGTATTTTGTAATACTTGGTATTTCCATTTAGGTTACCAAAGTGCTTTGCTTTCATTGGTCGTTGGGTCCACATGCTGAAGTGTTGCTGTCTTATTGGCACTATAGCACTACAGGCAACCCAACCAGTTACACACAGCTACAGTAGGTGAGAGAACCAAAGAAGATTAAGTGCCTTGCTCCAAGACACAAACGAAATGCACAGCAAAGGATTGAAACACCGATCTCAAGGTTAAGAAAATAAACCATTACCGTTGCGCCACTTCCACAGGTATTGGTATTGTTTTGTCCCCAACAAATCACTACAAAATAATTTAATCTTACAATATAAATAATTGTAACACTCCGACACATATTTATTTTAGATGATGATTTTAATAT